CTACTCAGCAGAAAAAAACAATGGAATCTTGAAATTTGCAGGAAAATGGATGGAACTAGAAGAAACCATTCTGAGCGAGGTAACCCAATCACAAAAAGACAAAAATGGTATGTACTCACTCATATGTGGATTTTAGACATAGAGTAAAAGAATAGCAGCCTACAATTCACACTGCCAGAGAATCTAGGAAACGGTCCCTTGGAGAAGGGGAAAGGGACAAGATCTCCTGAGCAAATTGGGAGCAAGGGAGGAGGGGGAAGAGTGAGAAGGGGAGGAGGGGTGAGGAGCACAGGAGGGAGCAGAAAGGTTGAGTCAGGGGAAGAATGGAAGAAAACAATAAAGGAAATACCATAATAGAGGGAGACATTTTAGGTTTAAAGAGAAATCAGGCAATGAGATTGATGACTGACTTATATGCCATCCTATAGCCTTCATCCAGCAGCTGGTGGAAGTAGAAGCAGACACCCACAACTAATCACTGAACTCAACTGGAATCCAGTTGCAGAGAAGGACAGTGATGAGCAAAGGGGTCCAGACCAGGCTGGTGAAACCCACAGAAACAGCTGACCTGAACAAGGGAGATCTCTTGGTCCCTAGACTAATAGCTGGGAAACCAGCATGGGACTGATCCAGACCCCAGGAATGTGGGTTTCAGTGAGGAGACTTTGGAAATCTATGGGACCTCCTGTAGTAGATCAGTACTTATCCCTAGCATAGGTGTGGACTTTGGGAGCCCATTCCACATAGAGGGATACTCCCTGAGCCAAGGCACATGGGGGTGGGCATCACAAAGTATATGATAGACTCTGATGACCTCCTATGGAAGGCCTCACCCTCCCTGGGGAGCAGATAGGTAGGGTTTTAGTTGGTGGGTGGTGGTAGGGGAGGAGGGGAGGGAGAGGGAACTGGGATTGACATGTAAAACAATCTTGTTTCTAATTCAAATAAAAATATGCAAAAAAGAGAAATGGTCTCATTTTAATAAATACGTTCTCACTTGAAATTTGTCAAGGTTTACATAGTTTACATATGCTATATATATTATAATTTATGCCTAAATGTCCTAATTTTTAAAGGATACATTCTTCAGTTAATAAATTTACCTTGTAATAGGTTTGTTTGTCACTTTGCCTATTTTTGTTTTGGTGGCACTAATTTCATTTTAAAGGTTCACTGACTTCTAGAATTTCAAATCACCAGACTCCAAGGACATACCGTATGATCTCGCCCATTGTTGACAGTGTCTTGAATTCCTTTCTCTTTGGGTGGCTCTGAATTCAGCTTGTATCTCACCATGAGATTGCCATTTTCTATGTCCAGAGATATGAACTTATCCTGGAGTACAGAAACAAGGTAGATCACTAGAAGGACTGGCTGAAGAAGTCCCAGCTCTCAAGTGGCTCTTGATGCACTTGGTGCTGTCACCTTTAGGTGCCCCCAGAGATAACCAGGAGACCAGCGCTGTGAGACCTCACACATGGGAGGCAGACAATGGCTGACTACTGTTAGCTGTGAGAGACACCACAGTGCCTGGCACTCAGGTCAAGCTCATCTGTGCCAGCCAGTGTCCTGATTTTATCATGACCACAACAAGGGGGCCACAACAAAGTTGTGACAACGACTGTTGTTCACCTTCCTCCCTTCTCATCCAATCAGCCCCTTTAACTCTCATGTCACTCCCCTGGTCTCATCCCACTCCCGTGGTCCCCTCTGTTCCCCCAGATCACCTTCCACCGTGCTGCCAGAATGGCCTCTGCAACGGCCAGTGAGCATACTAACTTTCTTGTTTCCAGCATCATGCAGACTCCCTGGCAGAGGCTGTGAGGCACGGTCCACCTGTCACTTTGCTTCTCATTGTGTCCTGTTGGCAGGTCACCTTTGTCCCTGCAGGTTCTCATTGCCAGGCCTTCTTCATGCCCGTGTCCCTGTTGGATCCCCTTCCCATGTCACCTTCTATTTGTTTATCACGTTTCAAGGGAGGCATCTTTTACTCAAGACTCTAATTTCACACTTCATCATTTTCCCTCTACATGATTCAAAATTGTGACGAAGCAGCAGCTTCAGCAGGGCACCTTTGTGCAATACCACCATTCCCCTCTAGAGGGCAGGGTATGGTTCGTCCTGCTCAGCATTGCCTCTTGGCCAGGGAGTAAGTAAGCATGTGCTTGAACCAGATATTCCTTAGTGATCAGAGGGTTTCTAACTTACACTTGAAGCTACTGCTGTTATCCAGTTCCCTATGATGAGAACTCTTATCTGTGAGTTTCCATCTAAAAGTTTCTAGTGTGGATCCTAAAACCTTGCCCTGGAGAGCCATCAACTTGAGCCGGGTAGCTGTGCAATGACTTAGTGGAGGTGCTAAGGATTCTTATGCAATGCGGTTGTGTAAGTTTCCTCCAGACTAAATACTACTTCTGGTTCTTCGTCTCCAAGAACTTCAAAATGCAAACCAAGCTGCACATCCACAATCCCCAAATTCATAATGAGAAATGCTTCAAAATCAGAATATTTTGTTTGACTATCAGCAGAACACCACAGTTCTGGTAGGCTATGGTATACAAACTTCGCTGTACTCACAAAATTGTTAAAAATATTTTGCATAAGATTACTTTTGGTCTCCATGTATACAATGTGTGTTTATGAAGCATGCATGGAGTTCATGTAACATGTGGGTCCTATAGATGCTTAGCTCTATTTCAACTCGTCACAACCCAGAATAGCCTAGGAAGGGCATCTCAATGAGGAACTGACTGTTGCATTGGGTTGACCTTTGGACACATTTGTGGGAACTGTCTTGATTGCCTCAACTGGTGTGGGAAGAGCCAGCCGTGAACTTGGACAGCACCATTTTCTGGTATCGGGCCCTGGAGTGTATAAGAGTAGATAAAGCTAACTGAATACTAGGCATCCTCATGATTTCTCCTTATGTATATGCAAATGTTCTAAAATGAAAAAACAATCCAAAATGTGTAACACTACCCATTCTTAGCATTTTAGAGAAAAGAGATCTCCCAGCTGAACAAAGAAGACCTTGTTTTGGAATACAAGTGCCTTAGCCTGGAGACTTTAAGCCTAGTTCTCTCTCTTTTAGACCTGGACCTTCTCAAACCTCAGAACTAAGGGACCAGACCAAACTCAGAAGAAAGAATGGAGACAAGTCTTTGTTCCTATCTGGCAGGTAAAGAGTTTGAGAAAATCTCAAGCTGTATATCACCCACACCTTCTCAGACTGGTATCCCAGTGCACATCTTTTTGGAACACTGCTTGTGAGAGCAACTATACAAGATTTGTTCTGGAGGTGGATCCAATAAGACACCCAGTGCAGCCTAACCAGTGCAAACATCATGCCCACTCTCCTTGAACCAGTAGAGGGCACTCACAATCATGAGTGGACTACCACCTTACATGCACCCAACCTAAGAAATATAAGAATGGTCCTCTGGTGCAGCTGGAGAGTATGGCAATTCTATGTTTAGTTTAATTTTTTTGAGAAACCTCCACACTGATTTTCAAAGTTGGCTGCACTAGCTGACACTTCCACTAACAGTACAAAAGGGTTCCCTTTTGTCACATCCACAGCAGCATCTGCTGTCACTTGTAGTCAACTGGAAGGGGCTGGAATGTTGTAGTTATAATCTGGATTTTCCTGATGGCAATGGATAATCCTGATCAAAATCCCATGGCTTGGGAGGTCAACTTTCTAATTTATTTTTTCTTAGAACTTTATTCTGTAATTTTCAACAAAATATATTATTTCACTAAATGATCATATTGTCAAACTGATAGGAAAATAAGCTAGGATAAAAATTCATTTTGGTGGCAATTGCTCAATTCCTGATCCTTTGTCCTTGTTAAAATTCACCCCAACAGAAAGAAAACAAGACTGGCCAAGGCCATACTGCGAAGCTAGATGGGCTATTTATAATAGCCCAGTTACCCCGAGATTGCTAGATATAGTGGATATTCAAGTCATTTTGGTGCTTGGTGTAAATTACCTGGTTTTCTGCAAAGAACAGCAAACCTCTGTCCACGGTCGTCTGGATGGTCTGTATGAAGTTTGGGAAGGGAGCGTTTGCTTGAGTGGGAATTCGGGCATAGCCTGTACCTTCAAAGTAGTTTCTGTCGGACTCCTCCTTTCGCCTGTCAACATCAACTGGATGTCAGTCATAAAAGGCCACCTTGCAGGTGTGCTTTCTAGTGTGAGATGCTGATGATTAAACAACGGAACAAGGAATGCACAGGCTGGGGGGTCACAATTGGTTAGGAAGAAGGGAAACAGTGCTAACACGTCAGCCAGCCTTCCTTCCCTGTGTGCTCTTAATCCCTGTGCTGAAGAGGCTAAAGTGGGTAAAGTGTTTCTGTATGAGCACGAAGACCCAAGTTTTCATGCTCAGAACCCATATCAAAGCCGAGCCTGGCAGCACATATCTGGAACCCTAGTATAGTGTGTGTGTGTGTGTGTGTGTGTGTGTGTGTGTGTGTGTGT